AAGAGGTGTTAGTGAGGCCAGCAGGGGGTGCTCACCTGTGGTCTGTGTGGGTCCTAATGCCCCAGTATAGTAATGGGGATACTATACTGTCAAAGAGCACCGTCTTAACGGATGAGACGTTTAAACCGAGGTCCTGACTCTCTGTGGTCATTAAAAATCCCAGGATGTCTTTCGAAAGAGTAGGGGTGTAACCCGGCATCCTGGCCAATTTGCCCAGTGGCCCTCTTTCCATCATGGCCTCCTAATCATCCCATCTATACCAATTGGCTTCATCACTGTCTCCTCTCTTCACCAGTAAGCTGGTGTGTGGTGAGCGTTCTGGCGCACTATGGCAGCCGTCGCATCATCCAGGTGGATGCTGCACACTTGTGGTGGTTGAGGGAGATTCCCCTCTCTATGTAAAGCGCTTTGAGTGCCGAGAAAAGCGCTATATAAATGTAATGAATTATTATTATTATTTATTATTAACTTTCTAAGACAGCACACTCATTTTCTGAGACATACTTTAAAAAGTTGTCAATCAGATCACTTTTGACAGATCCTTGTATTGCTTGCTCCAAGATGACAGGTGCCAGTTTTATTGGAGATACTTCTCTTTCTTCCAGCCAAACAGAATTATTCGGCAACACTTTCCCACTTTTCTTTCCCAAAATCATGCCGAAGAAAGGGAACTTTAAAATTGTTTCCCAGTGTGCATTGATCATAAAATTCCTGCCAAAATTCTGATAGCAATCTCTGAACACTCCACCGAAGTCATGGCCCATCTCAAACTGTCCATTTGGGAGGAGCAACTTCACTTCTACAGCACTCTGTGTGTGTGCAAGGGTTTCATCACAGAAATGTGCAATAAGTTCTGAAAATATCTGTCCACGATGAACAACAAGAATTTTTTTGTCAGGAACTATGGGTTCCGGGCTCAGAGGCAAAGTGTCATCTAAGGATTGTTCATTTATTTCAGTGACTTCTCCAGTGAAAACTGTCACTACATCGCTTGAATCAAAATAATCCAGTGAGGTCATTGATGAACTTTGAAAAAGCGACATTCAGATCATCTGTCAAATTTACATCCTCTGCGGAATGTAAGGGAGATGTGTCGTCGTTGTCTGTACTTTCCACAAAAATTAAATCTGTGTCTGAAGCTTGAAAGAGGTCATTCATTCTTCTGGAAGAAGTGGGAAGATTTTGATCCTGATTATTTCTGTGCAAGTCCTCTATTGTGTCTGAATCTGATATTTCCACTCCACTTTCTGCTTCCACTTCCCTCGCGACCTTTCTTGTTGTGAGGTAGAACCTCATCATTGTGAGTTTGGATGCATTATACATTTCCCCCACTGTAGTTTTATGATCTAGTGACACTTCCTGATAATTTGTTAGATCCAATTCAAACTCAGAAACACTTCCATGAGAATTTTTTTTCATCTGGGAAAAACAAACGAATTGCCTCCTCAATCAGTTCTTTCCTTTTCCAGTCTTTTGGCACACTCAACTTCCTTGTTCCCCCTCCTTTTTTTGCTCTCATTTGAACAAAGCCCTGTCCATCATAGTGCATCCACCCAATCTCAACTTTTCTTTCAGTACGCTGAGAAATGTTTGTTCTAGTTGCATGGTTTTCAGTTTGTGAATTGTCAATTTTTTGTCTTTTGCTAAGTTTTGATTTGAGGCGCTCAAACAGCTTTGACTTCTGCAAGTTGGCTCAGTTTCTTTCCTCCTACAAAATCCCAAAACTGCCAGTCTGTCTCCATATGAAGGAAAATAGCTTCTCATCTGGTCATCAGTCATTAGCAGTAGGACACTGACATCAATCTGCAAATAAACACATTTTTCAGTATTCAGTACAATAAACAAAACAAAATGTTGCTTATATTCATACAATTCATACAAGCATCTAGGGCTGCGTTTACATTGAAAAGACAAGTGTTATCAGCGTGTCCAGGTTCGGAAGTAGTCGAGGACGCATTGTGATCGGATCTCAGTTTATTGGACTTACATGATACTATGGGTGTCATTTTTCAATTTAATTGTGCAACATTATCTGAACGAGGTGATCGCCTGCAGAATCAGTCAGTCATGAGATCTTAATGAAGAGCTGCATGCCAGATGAATCGAAATCTGAATTTTTTTATGTTTTAAATGTTGAATGTTTGTATTGTTTCAGCATGTTTATCAATCTCCCATTTCTGTCAATATAGTCATTGCAGGCTATAACCTTAAACCCCAGATGATGATTAACATGATCAGTTATTTTTGTATGATCAAGTTAAACTCTATTCCTTCATTAAAAAACTTAATTTGATCTAAGACTGGAGATTGCGCAGGAAAGTAAAGTGAGTGAGTGAAAGCAATTGGTACATTTGTATCATCTTTACTCTTAACCTGGTGTCATGCCACAGACCTAATTTAGATATTATGCCGGAAAGAAATCCGATCAGATATCCAGATACAGAGGTTACTTATGTGAAAAAACGTGGCATGTCCTGACTGGCTAATGATCCGATCTGCCTGATCAGATCACGGAGACCGCATGTTAATGGCAAGTAAGCAGCTTAGGTCTGGGTTAATCATACTTGTATTATCCCTGCATTCAAGAAATTGTTTGTACAAACGGAACATTTTACTAAAAAAAAAAAAACAAAAAAAAAAACAGTCGGAGCCATTTTTGCATTTGCCATTTTGTCATTATGTCATCTCACACACAATTGAGCATTTAAGCCTTTCTGAGCAGAAAATGCTATAGGCTTGTTAGTATCAGTAGAAAAAAAAAATCATCATAGGTTTGTTCTAGCATGTTTTTAGGTGCTTTTCAGTGCTTTTACAATAGATTAACTTCCCCACAGTAGTATCCACATTATTTTAAATGCAAGAACGGCTCTGCCTTTAGTAAATTTGATGTGTTGAGTCTTCCATTTCCAGTTATTTTAGCTGTACAAAAACAGTATGTCATGAAGCTTGACATAGCAAACTGGTATTTACAATCATTTTATTGGTAACACTTTACAAAAAGGTTCATTAGTTAACATTAGTTAACTACATTAGTTAACATGTTCAATATGTGAACAATACTTCTTCTTCAGCATTTATTAATCTTAGTTAATATTAATTCCAACATTTACTAATACGTTATTAAAATCAAAGGTTGTATTAGTTAACATTAGTTAATGGACTGTGAACTAACATGAACACACAATGAACAGCTGTATTTGTATTAACTAACATTAACAAAGATTTATAAACACTGTAACTAATGCATTGCTCATCGTTAGTTCATGTTAGTTAATGCATTTACTAATGTTAACTAATGAACCTTATTGTAAAAGTGTTACCATTTTATTTTAACTAATTATCATAAACAAACAGATTTCTAGTACAAGTAGTTTTACCATTTACTGAATTAGGTATTAAAGGGGTCATTAAATGGGTCAGGTCAAAGGCTAATAAAGTAGTAAAGAGCTGCCACATCGTAAACGAATGACAGATATTTTAACATTTTATTTCCTACAAGGTATAATTGTATATTGAACGATTAGATTAATGGTGATTAATTCACACATCTAGAATCACTTTTGTTAATCTGAACACCCGAAAAAATATATGGTATACACATTTAAATGTAAAAAAATACACATTTTTTTTCAAATAAAATAAACATTAAATAATCTAAGAAAGAAATAATCCTGTAAGTAGGCCTAAATGGGCTTAAAATGGTCACTTCCTCTAAATACTGAGAATTTTCATTTTGGGGTAAACTATTCCTTTAATTTATTCATTTCTTGGTTAAATATTACCTTGTCCTCCTCCAGCCTTTGTATGGTGGTTTCTGGAATGTTCCTCTCCCTCAGAAAAATGATAAAATCGTCCATCCTGTTATGATAGTTTAACAGAAATGAATAATGAGAGCAAACTGAGGCTGGCAAGTTAGGCCAACATTAGCCTAAACCATGTATGTAAGCCATAAAACCAATCTGTAGCCGATCTCTATGGTCAAAATGTGCTGTGCATGACAAAGCAAAAGCTCCTGTCCTGATGCAAAACAGTTTTGGTACAATGACAAATACAGGATATTAAATAACTATTTGTAAACATAAAACCAACACTAAAATGCAAAAGAAGGCTAAACGTAATAGACAACCTTAGCACGTGCACGTTACGAAAAGTCACATTTTATACTTGCCCAACGTATTTTATTAACACATGATAAACATCTTAAATGACTATCATGTCAAAGAGTATGATCGTACCTTGTCATCGGAAAATGTCCATCCAAGCTCTGTCTTTGACGATGAAACGGAAGACTCTGGTCACAACTCGTGGCATACTTCCATCCCAATTACGAGAAAGGTCAAAGTTTATATCAATTGCGCCAAAAAAAAAGTCAGAATTGTGAGTTTAAATCTCGCAATTGCGACTTTATATCACGCAATTCGGACTTTTTATCTCGCAATTGCGACTTTATATCTCGCAATTGCGACTTTATATCACGCAATTCTGACTTTATATCTCGCAATTCTGACTTTATAACTCGCAATTGCGACTTTATATCTCGCAATTCGGACTTTTTATCTCGCAATTGCGACTTTATATCACGCAATTCTGACTTTATATCTCACAATTCTGACTTTATATCACGCAATTCTGACTTTATATCTCGCAATTCTGACTTTATATCACGCAATTCTGACTTTATAACTCGCAATTCTGACTTTATATCTCGCAATTCTGACTTTATAACTCGCAATTGCGACTTTATATCACGCAATTCGGACTTTTTATCTCGCAATTGTGAGAAAAAAAGTCAGAATTGTGAGATAAAAAGTCGCAATTATTTATTTTATTTTTTTATTCAGTGGCGGAAACAAGCTTCCATAGATATGCGACTGACACATTAGCTGGTAAGTATTCAACTGCCTTTATTACCATTTCGTGACGTTACCCTTTGCTGCTACGGTGGCCTCTAAGGATCCAAAAGTGTCTCACAAGATATCATTACAGTCATGTTGTAATTATAGTGTGACCAGTGTCAGTTGCATGGTTCACAATTTAAATCCTCCTCTCCCGGATGGAGGAGGTTCAAGATGACGCCTTAAAGGAGTAGTTCACTTTTTTTTTTTAAACTTTTGCTAATAACTCACCCCCATGTCGTCCAAGATGTCCATGTCTGTCTTTCTTCAGTCGGAAAGAAATTAAGGTTTTTGATAAACATTCCAGGGTTTTCTCCATATATGGACTTCAATGGGAACCAAACGGTTCCAAATGAGAGTTTCAGTGCCGCTTCAAAGGGCTTTAAACGACACCAGACGATGAATAAGTGTCTTATTAAAGGCATGTTGTAGGCTACTGTATCTTCCCAACATAGTTTAATCGAATTGATTTATTAACCAAAGAAAAGCTTTATATCAGTTAGTTCACAGCACGTGTGCTTGAACCGAGGAGCTGATCTGGCACGTCATGTTAAAGAGCGCCAAAACAGTTTTTTTTCGTAATAAAATTGACTTAATTTTAAAGCTGAGACTTTGTTTCATATAATAAGTAACCTGCCTTGTCTTGTCTATTGATGTAAGTGTCCTCTTTGCCTCAATTTTTCATTGCTTGAAAAAAACGAAGATTTGGCAGCGTCAACACTCACAGTGTGCATTATATGTAGCCTATTAAAAATCGGAAAAAAATGCAGGAGATACCTGACCCCAGGGCCTTTACAAGTCATGATCCGTCCCTGGGGTGAGTAAATGATGACAGAATTTTAATTTTGGGGTGAATTATCCCTTTAATATCAGAAAACACCAGCAGATGGAGCCAGTGGCCTCGTCTTTAATCCACAGCTGCATCATTTAGCAGGGAAAGGCATCCAGAATAAATCATCTGTGATCCCGACAAATCCACGATATTCAATACTCTGCGGTGGGGATTAAACCTCTTCCTGCTCTTTTCGTTTTATATACGTGTGCTAGTAGCCTATTTTTCCACTTGAGGCGAACAAACTAAAGGTTCTCGTGAAAAATACGAGCAGGATCTAGATGTGTAGACAGTGAGGAGGTCATGAATCTGGCAGGCGTGGTCGTGGGCTGGTCCAGCCTGCAATAAACGTCAAAAACAGAGGAGATGCGGATCTCTGGGAAAACACCGACTCAAAACAAAACCATTCATACAGGAAAACAAGACTAATTCTCGATTGCTTGGTGCACGCGGCTGTTTTGACTCATTGCATTGTAGATTTATAGGGCGACTGTGTGCATAAAGGACAAAGAGGAGAGGATGTTGTAAGGTAAGCATCTCTTGCATCTCGTTTCATTTCTCCATCACTATTTCAGCCAATAGTTGAGATTTCCTGGGATTTAATCAATGGTGCTTGGATTTGTGTATGGAGGAATTTTGGACCCCACGCATCCATCACATTCATGGTGACCGTGATGCTGGACTGCCATGATATTATATGATTTCACGAATATAGCCTACAAGTTACATTATCACACCATAAGCTGGAACAGTATAGAGGTTAAACACTTGGCACTAAAGAAAATGGAAGCAGTATGTTTTACGACTATAGTTATAAGACGGTTGTGTGTGATGTAATTAAGTAAACGATAAATAATGAGACGCCTTGGAGCTTTGTTTTCATTTAAGCATTAGTGATTGTACGAGGTTATGACGTGTCTGCTTTCAGGCGCCATAATATTGGGAGTTTCGCATTAATTGGAAATCTTTTTTTTATTATTATTATTGGAGTAATTTAAGCACGCTTATGTGCTGCAATTTGAAATGAGATTTTTTGTTCGTTAACATGTCATGCTCCCCACAAAATTGTTAAATTTTCTCAGTGGGCTCTTGCACTGATGCCCGGTGGCTGTCTGAGCCTCGCGCTGCTGGTGGTGATGATGATGCAGCGGGGCTCGTGTTGTTGCTAGGCAGCCACGTACAGGCCCTGCCGCGCGACCACCGGCTACTCCACAAAACAAACGACACAGTACGGTTCATAGTGGTTTATAAATTAATACATACATGCATTTTTGACAAGAAAGCATTATTTTTAGTATCATTTCTTTTAACAGTTTAAACCCGCCGTCTACCCCCTCTCATGGCAGTTCAAACTGGGTGTTGTTTTGCTGTAGAAGTGGGCGTGACACGTGAGTCTTTCCCCCTGGAATGAGCCCTAGAGAGAAAGGGTGGCAAAGGCCCTCTCTGCTCAGCCGTCCTAAAATCCTAATACGTTTGCCAAATAGACGAGACGATATGCCCTTTTTATTAGGGTTGGCTGACTACTTTTCCTTTTAATCATCTTTTTGTGCACCACTAATGGATATTATCATAATGTATTCATTTAATTTGCTGTTTTCCATAATGTTTAGCTGCAGGGGTGAAGGAATGATTTAAATTATGTGGGGCGGGGTGTGGGTGTGGGTGTGGGTGTGTGGGGGTGTCTTAGATCTTAGACTATCCTTTTTTCCACTAGGCTAAATTAAACATAATCTGGTGGTAACGCCTTACAATAAGGTTTCAACTTGAACTAATAATGAACAGCCCTTTTACAGCATTTATTAATCTTTGTTAATGTTAATTTTGACATTTTCTGAAACATTATTAAAATCAAAAGCTTTATGTGTAACATACACATGAACAACCAACGCGTTCTCATCCCAAAGCGCCATATAGGACGCTTTTGCAAAAGCGTAAATATCCAACGCACATGGCACCCTTTAACGTCTAATGAGACGCTTCGGTTATGGTTAAGTTTAGGTAAGGTGTAGGGTAAGGGTTAGACCACTAGGGGGCGCCTTCTGCCCAAATATATCTGCGTCCCATTTCACGTTAAAGGGTGCCATGTGCGTTGGATATTGGGCTCCAACAACCAACGAACCACTGTATTTATATTTACTAACCTTAACAAAGATGAGCAAACTCTGAAACAAATGTATTGCTCATAGTTAGTTAACCTAAACTAAAAAATCTGGGGGTGATATTTGATGCCAATTTAACATTTGACCATCTTGTTCGTAACACAGCCAAAACATTTTTCATCTCAGAAACATTGCCAAATTCCGCTCTATGTTGACTTTCTCTGTGGCAAAAGTTAATCAACACTTTTGTTTTTTCACGTATTGATTATTGTAATGCTTTGGCTGGAGTTTCTAAAGCTGCCTTAAGTAAATTACAGTTGGTACACAAAAAATGTTTTGCTCTTGCTTCCTGTTTGTATTGATTTTAAAATTTTAATGCTCAGTTATAAGGTCTTGAATAATTTGGCCCCTCAATATTTGTGTGAGCTCTTAACCCCCTACACTCCTGCACATGCTCTATGATCTTCTGAGGCTGGGCTTTTAACTGTCCAAACAATGCAAAACTATTAAAAAACTGGGCTTTTAACTGTCCAAGCTAAAAACTATGGGTGATCGAGCTTTTTGCTCTTTGGCTCCTAAATTGTGGGATTCCCTGCCCTCTGAGATTAGGAATGCAGAATCCCTTAGAAATCCTCCCTTAAAACGTACTATTTTAGGGTGGCTTTTATGTGATTTGTGTTTGTTTTTATATTGCTTTTTATTTTTATTGCTCGTTTAGTTTTTACTGTGTATCCCTTTAATTTCATTGTTTTTATGTAAAGTGCTTTGAGATGCTATTATTATTATTATTACATTAACTATTGTTTACAAATGAATCCTTATTGTAAAGTGCTACTGAAAATCTTTAATTTATAAAATCTTAAATCTTATATATATATATATATATATTTGTATATATGAAGAGTTCAGATGCAAAAGCCTCTAAGTGCCATTTGAAATTTTCTCCTAAAATGATCATTTTTATCAAGCTTGTATATTTAAGTTCAGTAATTTCACTTAAATGGCAATGAAGATTACCTATTAATTGTTATTTAAGTGAAATTACTGAACTTAAATATACAAGCTTGATAAAAATGGTCATTTTAGAAGAAAATTTCAAATGGCATTTAGAGGCTTTTGCATCTGAACTCTTCATATATATATATATATATATATATATTTGAACCTAAAATGTTTACTTAAAGTACCCCCTATATTTTAGGTTAATTGAAATAATTTAACCAGCATGTTCACAGTTCTTGCAGGTAAACAAAATATTTAATCTTTGTTTTTTGTTTTTTTTTAAATAATATAATCTTACATCTTTATTATTTAGCGAATTAATTAGCTTAACCCCGTGCAGATCCCCTGGTTTGGATACCCTGAGCTAAACTATTTTTAAAAATAAACATTTATATAAAAAAAAAAAACATTGAATGTAAATGCACTTTAATGTTCATTGCCTGTCTTTAATGTGTATTATTAGCGTAATTTTAGATGTTCATGCTACATAAAAAAAAAAAATCATCATGGAAACAATTTTGACGGATTTGTACACAATCTTGTTCAAATATTGGGGAAAAAAAACATTCACTGTGTGGAGTTGAAAACGGAGTCAGAGAGTAGACAACACCCATTTCCAAATTAGGCTAATCGCTCATAGAAATGGCTTTTTTTCTTTCTTGAAAATGATCCAATTCATTGTTGGTTTTAAAAAGCATGCATTTTTTGTGCATGGGTCACCGATTTCTCAGTGCATTATACAGAATGCACCCAGAACCCCACATTAACTTAATTATAAGATTCTTTTCAAATCAATCCAGCCTCACTTTAACCATTATACATCTCCCTCATATACTCTCTCTCTCTCCCCACTTCCTACAAGCATTAAGATCTCTCAGTGGGGGAGAAAACCCTCATCCGGTCAGGAAAGCTCTGTTTTCAGACCGATCAATAAGTAACAGACACATGTACTTGTCTCTCATCCCTCCTCAGATTGACATCAAAATCCTGCTGTAGCAGATCGCAAAATTCTTCAAGTTTTTGAGATTAAAGTGTAGGTTGAAGACTAAAATAATTGCAGACTACTGATTTTTGCCGTTATAGCAGCAGGACCTGATTCATTTGGAAACTGTGCTTGAAACTGATACGGCACCAGTTTGGATCCAAAGGGGCCCCACTCATTATACAGTCTCCCCAGAGAGAGGACCTCTCAGTAGGGGTCCCAGAGCACCTGAGCCCCTGGCAGACTAAAGATGTTGTGACTGCTAGTGCATTAACTCAGACACTTTGGAGATGTCAGTGTTGTATTTTGGAAATGCAAAAAAAAAAAAAGACTAAATCTAAATGACATTTATAATAGATGATTAAAACATAAGTTTAGCATATTACTGTTCTTTTATTCAGCAAGAATACATTAAGTTGAACAAAAGTGACATTTATAATTACAAAATATTTCTATTTCAAATAAACTATTTTCATTTGAATTTTCTATTCGTTAAGAATAACAAAGCAGCACAACTCTCTGAAGGCCATTTTTACCACACCCTTTACACACACACACACACACGACATGATAGCATCATGCAGTTTCTGCTGATTTATCTGCTGCACATCCATGACTCTTAGAAGAAATGGTTCTATTTAGAACCAGAAATGGTTCCATCCCCCGCTTCATATATGGAACTCCAAAATTGGTAAAAGATTCTATGGAACCCCAGGGTTCTATATAGAACCCAGGAACCCTTTTTTAAGAGTCTATAGAACCTTTTATGGGTTCCAAATACGTAGCGCTGATACGTAGAACCTTTTCTTCTAAGAGTGTGTGAATCTCCCGTTCCAGCACATCCCAAAGGTGCTTTATTGGGTTGAGATGGTGACTGTGGAGGCCATTTGAGAATCGTGAACTCATTGTCATATTCAAGAAATCAGTCTGAGAGATAACTTGAGCTTTGTGATATTGAGTTATTCTGTTTGAAGTATCCATCAGAAGATGGTTCCCTGCGGTCATAAAGAGATGGAGATGATCAGCAACAATACTCAGACCGCTGTGGCGTTTAAATGATGCTCAGTTGGTATAAGAGGCCAAGACAGTCTCCCATCACACCATTACACCACCAACAACCTGAACCTATACAAGGCAGGATGGGTCCATGCTTTTATATTGTGAATGCCAAATTCTGACCCTACCATCTGAATGTTGAGACTCATCAGACCAGGCAGAGTTTTTCTAATCTTATATTGTCCAATTTTGGTGAGGCTGTGTGAATTATAGCCTCATTTTGCTATTCTTAGCTGACAGGAGTGTCACTGGAGTGTCTTCTGCTTCAAGGTTTGACGTGTTGTGCGTTCACAGAGATGCTCTTCTGCAGTCCTCGGTTGTATCAGTCTGGCCATTCTCCTCTGACATCAAGGCATTTGCTATAAAATTTTCTAGATTTGCTATAGTTCATGTTTTGAGGGAATGCTAAGTGTTTTTGTTAATGGTCAAAAGAGTTTTCATACAGACCGATACTGTATTTCCATCCCAAATTCAGTGCTGCCACACTGTAAAAAAAATCATGATTTGTTATCATAACGTTTTTTCTTCAACTTAGATAATTATGGAAGCTTGTTTCCGCCACAGAATGAAAAATAAAAAAGCTAATTGCGACTTTTTATCTCACAATTCTGACTTTTTTTGAGATGTAAAGTCAGAATTGTGAGATATAAAGTCAGAATTGCGCGATATAAAGTCGCAATTGCGAGATATAAAGTCAGATTTTCGAGATATAAAGTCAGAATTGTGCGATATAAAGTCGCAATTTCAAGATATAAAGTCAGATTTGCGAAATATAAAGTCAGAATTGCGTGATATAAGTCGCAGTTGCGTGTTATAAAGTCAGAATTGCAAGATATAAAGTCATAATTGCGTGATATAAAGTCGCAATTGCGTGTTATAAAGTCAAAATTGAGAGATATAATGTCAGAATTGCAAGATATAAAGTCGCAATTGCGTGTTATAAAGTCAGAAATGCATGATATAAAGTCAAAATTGCGTGTTTTACTTGTAAAGTCAGAATTGTGAGATATAAACTATTCTGAGGGGGAAAAAAGTCTTTGGCCTGATAACTCGCAATTCTGAGAAAAGATGTCAGAATTTCGACATATAAACTCACAATTGTGAGAAAAAAGTCAGAATTGTGAGATAAAAAGTCGCACTTCTGTCATTTTTTTCTCAGAATTGCGAATTTATATTCTTAAAAAAGTCAGATGCAATTCTGACTTCATATCTTGCAATTCTTTACAGTAAAGTCAGAATTGTGAGATATAAACTATTCTGAAGGGGAAAAAAGTTAAGTCTTTGGCCTGGCGAGTTTATATCTCACAATTCTGAGAAAAGATTTTTTTTCTTTTTTTTATTCAGTGGCGGAAACAAGCTTCCATAGATAATTTATGTGGTTTAGATAACATAATATTTTGAGTTTCTGTTTATTAAATCAATCTCCTTCATTGTATTAATTTAATTTTTCAATTTAATGAACTTAAAGTTTTAAGGCAACCAGGTTACTTCATTTTTTTAAGTTAAACTAACAATATTTTTTTTACATTGCATGCTGGGCTTTTCAAACAAACCAAGTAATATTTTTATAGTGGTTCACTTTTGAGAACTGAACTTACAGTGGCTCACTTATCTGCACCTTGGAGATTAAAGTAAGATTAAGCACGAAAATATAGTTGAGGTGATCTTTCCGGTCCACCGCCATCATTTTATTGTACAGGCTGAAAGACCATTTATTTACAGTATGTGAATAGGAGTACAATGTTGAGGGAGAAATAAAAGATATTCAGGATCAATGTTTTAGATTATATGCCATCAATCATCTGTCATGCATCCTGGAACAGTGATAGACTGGTTTCTCTTAATGCAATTTCTTAAATAGACCTTCCTCGATTAACTAATCGACCACATTTACTAATGCACATAAAGAACTACATTTTGCTGTCAGCACTACTTGCACTGTGCGTGTGTATATGACAGTTAGTGCGGCCCCCACATGACTTTGGGTGTGGTGTGCAGAAATACTTATCTAGTATTTGCAGGACTGCCTGTGTGCTTTTGCATGCGTGTCTATTAGGCTATTATGTGCACATCACTGTAAAATATGCATGGGGACATACTCTTCCATGATGTGCATGATGGGGATCTATCATTCCCATAACTCCATATTATAACTGAATTATTTACATATTGTACATTTATATTGTATTTTTTGTTTTTTCTTCAACCCCCTCCCCATTTAGCCATCTCACCTGGCCCTGCTTTGCCTATCCTTTTTTCTGTTTTCTGTCTATCCTTCTCCTCTATTCCACACTGGGGAAAAGAAGATGAGTAGGTCTCCCACCCCTAAAGGGACTCCGGTCCAGCATAGTCCTGTAGACGGGGAATGTCTGGAAGGAGAAATGGTCCAGTCTCCCCAGCAGTCAACGCCGTCCAGCGGCCTCAAGAAACGTGTTTCCAGTCTCCTGCAAAGCCCTGTGAGTAAATCAAGTGTGCACTAATGAGTGAAGCTCATATATTGCAATGCATTCTCATAGGGCGTCATATAGGTGACGCTTTTGACATTGCGTCTAAATCCGACGCACATGGCACCCTTATATCCCCATGGCACGTCTTCGGTTATGGGTAGGTTTAGGTCTGGGGTAGTGTTAGGGTTAGACCACTAGGAGGCGCCTTCTGGCCCATATTTATCTGCGGTTGATATTGACGCTAAAGGGTGCCATTATGTGTGTCGGATTTGTAGACGAAATGTCAAAAGCGTCACCTGAATGACGCCTTGGGATGAGACCGGGCTGCAGGTTTAAAGAGCTGACTGTTAAGCAGCTTTGATTCCGAAATTTTTCCTATTGATTTTCTCCATAGGGATTCAAGAAAGATTTTGTTGAATCACAAAATTACATTTGATTCAGAGAGAAATGTGTATAAAATCTGAACAATAAGACATTATTAAAGCAGATTACTTCATTGTTAATATTTTAATATTACTAACATTTCAATAATAATACTATTATAAGTGTATTAATAAATACTATTATGATTGATATTACTATTATTATTATTTAAAGAAACATGTGCTGTTTTCCTCAAATGTAATATATTTCCATTGCAACATTTGAGTCAGAGCCAAAAATATGTATCCTATGCACGTAAAAACTCACTTTAGCGTATAAATTGCACGATAATCACACCGCGTGCTATAAAGACGCATTTAGTGTGATCGGGTTGATGAGATTGTAAAAGTGAACAGGCATTCAAAGTGGCTGCTTTAAGCTTTCAAAATGCTTCCTGAAACGGCATATCTCTCATTCGCAGAGGACCCACGTCGGGTTCCCTGCTTTTATTCGCCTGTTCTGTCCACCCTTTAATGTCCTGCTTCCCAATCCCTATGTCCTCTCTCCCCTTCCCCCTCATTAGGTTCCCAAAGATATGATTATCTCCACAGCTCAGATATAATCTGCCCTGAATCACCACTGACAGCTGTAGAGAGAGAGAGAGAGAGAGAGAGAGAGAGAGAGAGAGAGAGAGAGAGAGTAGGGGAAAGTATAGATAGTGCAGGGAGTTTTTTGTTGGTGCAAAACAATAAAAAAACCTCTCAGAATGGAGGGACCGTGTTGAAGGACAGAACTGAAGAGCTCAGCGTTTCATATGAGGATGATTCATTCAGTCTTTCTCTGTTGTGGATTGTTCTGGAACCTGTGACTCAAATATTCTTCCTGCTGTTTGTTTGCGTATGTTTATAAATGTATTGTCTGTTTTACTGTGTTTGTGTGTGCCATTATGTTTGATGCAGTGATCGCAATGTTTAATGCTTAATTTAAAACTTTTTTTGTAAAACTTTTAAAGAAATTTCTTTTTCTTAAGTACAGTGCTTACAAGTTAAAACTATATTGGCATTCCTCAAACTTTTGTAGTTAGCTTATTATAAACTTTATTAAAAACTTCTGACTTTAAGTATTAAACATGTGCAATTAATTTAGCCAGAACCGTTTAAAGCTTACTTTGTTCTGAAGATTTTTTCATCTGTTTATTGTAAACTTCACACTTATTAAGAACTTTACATTAGAAAGTATCAGTGTTAAACTTCTATTGGTTCAGCATAGAATGTTCCGCATTCAAAATTAAATGCGTAATGCTATAGTGAAGTTGTTATATAATATATTTAAAATATATACTCAGCAAAAACTGTTACATTATGTGTTCATTATCATGTAGGGAAATAGAAAAGGCAGTATTTAATAATGCAGTATTTCTTTTAGAACCAAAGCCTAAAAGCTAAACTTGTGAAACTTTAATATGGTTCTTTTGCTAGATTGCAAGCACTGGTACTGGAAATATGGTTACAGTATACAGTAAGTTTTTTACATTAATTATGGAAAATACACTACCATTCAAACGTCTGGGGTCAGGGTTTTTTTTATTTTTAAAGAAATGAATACTCTTCATTTCTTAAAAAAGAGAAGACTTTAACATTGTAAGTGTAAGTTATAAATATTTCAAATGAATTTCATTTGTTTCCACAAAAGTATTACGCAGCACAGCTGTTTTCAACATTGATAATAATAAGAAACGTTTCAAATCAGCATATTAGAATTATATCTGAAGGATCATGTGACGCTAATGATGCTGAAAATATATTTAAAACTGCTCAAATATAAGCAGTTTATTTATAATAGATCTATTTTACTATATTTTTGATCTTTTGAACAGTAGTGTACTTTTCCATGATACTTTTTTTATTCACGTACCATTGCATTTCAGTGGACCATTGAAGTGCAAAAGAACAAAAAAAGGTTACAAGTTACGTTTTGTAACAATAACACATTTCCTGAAACATACATAAACATTTTCACCTAAAATGCAACAAAACAAAAAAAAAAAGATGAAGAAAAAAATCATGGACATTGTTTATTTCTCACCCACCAATGTGCACAATGTGCATTTTCCTTTATTTGTGTGAAGTGCATGTTGTTGTTAAATGACTGAATCTTATTTGTGTGTGTTAGTCCTTTAGAGAGGAGCTGGATGCATTGATTCAAGAGCAGATGAAGAAAGAAGGAAGTTCCTCCAATCTGTGGGCGCTCAGACAGATCGTAGACTTCATGTCCACTCACGGATCTCCGGCCGCCCTGCCCGTCGCTCAATCCTGTACGTACTGTAACACCTGCCATCATTTACATAATCTTAAGATAAAGGTAATTTATTGGCATTGGTGGTTCTATAAAGAGCCTTTAACATACATGGAAAGTTTCAAATGCACAAAAGGTTCTTTGGTGGGAAAAGATGATGTAGATTCAAAGACGCAAAATCTTATTCCTAAATGACAACGATCCGGCTTGATCTATTACATTTTTGACAAGTCTGATCACAGTGAACTTTCAGATCTGAGTTGCTGTTGTAGTGCAGTTGTCATGTAGAGGTATGAGGCTGCTTCACAAACGGTCTTTTCAGCCACACAGTAGGATTATTTCTGTTACAAATAATTCAGATGACCACAAAAGAACTGGGATAAAAGTTTATAGTTTGGATATTAAAGGAGTAGTTCACTTTTAAAAAAAACTTTTGCTGATAATTTACTCACCCCCATGTCATCCAAGACATCAATGTCTTTCTTTCTTCAGTCGAAAAGAAATTAAGGTTTTTGATGAAAACATTCCAGGATTTTTCTCCATATAATGGACTTCAATGGGAACCAAACGGTTCAAGGTCTAAAAGGTAGTTTCAGTGCAAAATGAACAAATCTTTTTCCGAGTCATGAATAGGCTCGAACAGGAGAGTCACAAACGTGCGTCACAGAACAGAGCAAGGCGACCATTTGAGCTTATAAAACTTAAACTTTGTTATTTATTTATTAAATGAGCGATCGTTTCGCTTGATAAGAGCCTTATTCATCGTCCGGAATCATTTAAATTCCTTTGAACAGTTTGAAGTTTTCACTGAAAGTGTCTTTTGGACCTCGAACCGTTTGGTTCCCATTGAAGTCCATTATATGGAGAAAAATCCTGGAATGTTTTCATCAAAAACCTTAATTTCTTTTCGACTGAAGAAAGAAAGACATGGATATCTTGGATGACATGGGGGTGAGTAAATTATCAGTAAAAGTTTATCAAATAACTTAAAGAGTTTTAGTTTCAAACTAAATGAATTTAATTGTGAGAATTCAGTCCAACTGAACTGTTCACAGTTTCTTTGATAAAAAGGCTGTCGCACCACTTAAACTGCATGTAGACTACGTAGTGCTGCTCTTTTTACTCAAAATCTGTCATGACTGAGACTCTCATTGACACACACTTGCGCTGTTTCTCTTGTTCCTCATGCCTGTGCAGCCGTTACCATGGTGACCCCCATTAACGACGTGCAGGGATGGGAGCCGAGCTCCATGGTGAAGGGGGAGAGACTGATGCGCTGCAAACTGGCTAGTGTTCACCGACTGGTGGATCTGTACGGCTGGGCCCAGCTGGCCAACACGTGCCTCACAGTAAGAACACACTTCTGTCAGTATGCCAAGAATCCTGAGAAGTGCTCCCTGAGCAACGGTTAACTTACAGCTGGATTGATTAAACAGGCTCTAATGAAGGTTGAAGTGTGATTCATGTGATTCAATTATAACGTGTCCTACTGTTTAAAAGTTTGGGGTTTGGGATTCTTATGCTCACCAAGGCTGTAAACAAAATTGTATTGCAATTTAAAAGAACTGTTTCCTGTTTTAGTATATAAAATGTAATTTATTCAGCAGACATGCAAAAGCTTTCTAACCTACTTAATTGCTGCTTAAGAAACACTTCTGATTATAACCAATGTTTAAAAAAATGATGTTTTTGTGGAAACTGTGAGACTTCTCATCCGGATTCTTTGAGTAGAAAGTTCACAAGAGCAGCGTTTATTTAAAATAAAAGTCTTTTGTAACATAAGTAATGTACTGTCACTTCTGATCCATTTAATCTCTCCTTGCTGAATAAAAGTATATATTTCTTTTAAAAAAATCTTACTGACCTTAAAATTTTGAACAGCATTGCATGAGTCTGCTTATTAACTGTTATATAACTCATGCTTATTATTAAAAAAAAAGTAAGTTCACAAATAGTGACTTCTGGGGCGCATTAAGCTGATTAAAAATTATACTTTTTGCTGCATTTACATTAGCATACTAATTCATTTCTCCTATTTCTCCTTCGCTCCGTCTATTGGGATTTGAGTGTTTTAAAAATAGGAAGTGATTTTTGTGATCAAGTCTGGTAACAAGGTTGCCAGTTGAGATGTGAAAATCAAGACTCTTAAAGGAGTAGTTCACTTTTCAAAAAACTTTTGCTGATAATTTACTCACCCCCATGTCATCCAAGATGTCCATGTCTTTCTTTCTTCAGTTGAAAAGAAATTAAGGTTTTTGATGAAAACATTCCAGGATTTTTCTCCATATAATGGACTGCAATGGGAACCAAACGGTTCAAGGTCCAAAAGACAGTTTCAGTGAAAACTGCAAACTGTTGAAATGGCTTTAAACGATTCCAGACGATGAATAAGGGTCTTATCAAGTGAAACGATCTGCCATTTAAAAAAAAATAACAAAGTTTATGTTTTATAAGCTCAAATGGTCGCCTTGCTCTGTTCTGTGATGCGTGTTCGTGACTCTCCTGATCAAAATGAACAATTTTTTCCCGAGTCAACTCGTTCATTTCGTTCGTTGAATGAAACAAATGACACGAAAAAAGATTCGTTCATTTTGATGAACGAGTTCGAATAGGAGTCACGAACGTGCATCACAGAACAGAGCAAGGCGACCATTTGAGCTTATAAAACATAAACTTTTTCCTTTTTTTTTTCAAATGAGTGATCGTTTCGCTTGATAAGACCATTATTCATCGTCTGGAATCGTTTAAAGCCCTTTGAACAGTTTGCACTGAAACTCTCATTTGGACCTTAAACCGTTTGGTTCCCATTGAAGTCCATTAAATTGAGAGAAAATGCTGGAATGTTTTCATCAAAAACCTTAATTTCTTTTCGACTGAAGAAAGAAAGACATGGACATCTTGGATGACATGGGGGTGAGTAAATTATCAGCAAAAGTTTTTTAAAAGTGAACTACTCCTTTAAAGGGATAGTTCACTCAAAAACTTGTAATTCTGTCATTGCTTTCCCTCATGTCATTTTAAACCATTAGGACTTATTTTCTTTCATGGAACACAAAAAGAGACATTAGGAAGAATGTTGAAGCTATTTAATTCCTAAAAAGTTATCCAAATATGAATAAAACATAACGTGACTGCACCATAAAGTTTGGACTTGTACATGAACAGAAATTTAAGTCACTATCTCTGAAAATCATATGAAAAGCTGTACAGGTTTGGTAGGACATGAGGATGAGTAAATGTCAGATTTTGTTCATGAACTGTCCCTTTAACCTCAGGTCGTTCCAGGGATTGTTCCTATAAGTGTAGTGTACTTGGAATAAAGCATCTCTTTCTCTCTGCAGATGCGTGTTAGTAAAGAACAGGAACATTTCCTCGTGTTGCCGAATGGTCTGGCCTGCGGGGAAGTGACTGCGTCCAGTCTGGTGAGAGACTGTCCGCACACACACACCAAACATGTTCCTCTTGTGTCCTGCGAGATGTCTCCTGATAATAGCATTTCACTGTGCTAAAGCGTTCAAATGAAGGTCACTGGAAACATCACAGTTTGAGATTGTGTGTATTATTTGCTTATTCAGTGTGTTCAGCATTTTTCTGGGAATATTTTGTACATTGTTGCAAAAAAGAAGGTATTAGAAATAGTTACTCATGAAAAATTTCTCGTGTCCATGAATGTGCACAATTTGTATCATAAATTGTGACTTGTGACTTGAAAGAAGTGCGGTTTAAAGCATTAGGATAGTGAAGTAATTTATGTGCATGTCCTGATTTTGCATGTTAAAATGTTTACATATTTTGTTGATCCCGGAACAACATTCCTTTCCGAAAAACCATACTGATAAATGACGCATTAGTTCTTTAATGCATTCGGGGGATTATTTGTTATAATACTTTAATATGTGTGCTATGTTCATTGTGGAGAAAATGCAGGTGAGCGAGTTGTTGTTATTTTGTCTGTCTTTCTTGTACATATACTGTGTGGTTAACCTTTGTTTGTTATATAGGTGCAGGACCCCCTTGAAAATGTGATGATGCATCTCAAGAGGTTATCCTGAAATATATTCAATTCAATTATATCCATACCCCTAAACTTGACATAAACCGTGTCCTTCAAATCTGATTGGTTGATTAGAATGTTGTTCCAGGATCAACAAAGACATGTTGAAATCAGCTTCTGCACATTATGAAGTGGTATCTCATTTTTTAAGATATCTTTCAAGAACGGCCTTTCATAATGCCAATCAGGATGTTGATTAATTAAATGATAGAAGTAATTATGATCAGATTCAGGAGGGTCAAAAGGAATCTGTTTTTTAAAGGATAGTGTGACGGCTTGATGAAAGCGTGTGCTCTCTGTGATGTCCAGGTGAAGGTGAACATCCTGGGGGAGGTGGTGGAGAAGGGCAGCACTGCTCTGGGAGTGGATCTGTCTGCGTTCAGTCTTCACTCTGCCATCTACTCTGCCCGACCAGACGTCCGCTGTCTGCTGCACCTCCACACTCCTGCCACAGCTGCGGTACGACACACACTGACCTGAGAACAGCCCACAGTGCTCAAACAGCAACTTCTATCTATCTATCTATCTATCTATCTATCTATCTATCTATCTATCTATCTATCTATCTATCTATCTATCTATCTATCTATCTATCTATCTATCTGTCTGTCTGTCTGTCTGTCTGTCTGTCTGTCTGTCTGTCTGTCTGTCTGTCTGTCTGTCTGTCTGTCTGTCTGTCTGTCTGTCTGTCTATCTATCTATCTATCTATCTGTCTATCGTTCTTTCGTTCTATCGTTCTACACTCTAAAAAATGCTGGGTTGTTTCAACCCAAATTTGGGTCAAATATAGACAAACCCATATGTTGGGTTAAGAATGTAATTAAAAATTTTAACCCAACTTCAACTTTCACTTTCAACAGTACATTTTTTAATTACATTTTTAACCCAACATTTGGGTTTGTCCATATTTGACAACAACAACAAATGTTACAGCCCTTCCCATGATGGAGAAACATGGAAGAGTGATAGTGGGACCGTAGGAGTGAAGAGAGAGAATGCTAGTGTTCAGAGACTGAGAGAGCCAGTGAAAGGGTTTGTGCAGTATAAATATGCATTTTACTATAGTATAAATATTTATAGTAAATATACTAAAAGTTAGGAGTCGGTAATATTTTTAAATATTTTTAAAAAGAAACTTTATTTGTTATTTTGATCAAAAGTACTGTAAAAACTGTGAAATATGTTGCAATTTAAAAGATGTTTTCTATTTTGATTATATTGTAAAACATAATTTATTCCTGTGATGGCACAGTTGAATTTTCAGAATCATTACAGTTTAGTGATTTGGTGCTCAAAAAAACATGCTGCTAAATGTTTTTGTGGAAACTGTTGTGCATTTTATTTTCCGTATAGTTTGATTAATAGAAATAACAGCATTTATTTGAAATAGAAATCTTTTGTAAAATTGCTAATGTCTTTTCTGTTCATTTTAATCCATTTAAGTATTAATTTCTATTCTTTTTTTTAAAATCATAAGTGAAACAACCCAGCATTTTTTAGAGTGTATCTATCGTTCTTATACATAATAAGTATCTATCGTTCTTATACTTAATCGTTTTTATACATTCTGAGGTCCTGCCTTCCACTAACCACAAAAATACTTATTCCAAAAAATAACAACTATCACTCTATTATTTTAGAAGCATTGTCTCAAATTACCCACACTCCTGAGAGCTGACAGCTGTTGGATATACTTCATACTGCATTCTCTCATTCATCTTATTTGGTGGATTTTATCATTCTAGCATCGACCATCTCCTATAACCGCTATTAATCTTTCATGCAGGTATCAGCCATGAAGTGTGGCCTGCTACCGCTATCCCATGAGGCTTTGCTAGTGGGTGAGGTAGCTTATTATGACTATAATGGAGTAATGGAGGACGAAGAGGACAGAGTGGAACTCCAGAAGAGCCTCGGCCCTACATGCAAGGTCAGATCCTCGATTACAGAACATGATGTTGAGGCTGGTAAGGTCAAAAAGGGCTTGATGAAACGTTGTTTTTGTGCAGGTGTTGGTGTTGAGGAACCATGGGATCGTGGCACTGGGAGAGTCAGTGGAGGAGGCCTTTTACACAATATACCACATCCAGACCGCCTGTCAAACACAGGTAGGCAACAACAACAAATGTTACAGAAACATGGAAGAGTGATAGTGGGACCGTAGGAGTGAAGAGAGAGAATGCTAGTGTTCAGAGACTGAGAGAGCCAGTGAAAGGGTTTGTGCAGTATAAATATGCATTTTACTATAGTATAAATATTTATAGTAAATATACTAAAAGTTAGGAGTCGGTAAGATTTTTTAATATTTTTAAAAAGAAACTTTATGTGTCAAGGCTGGATTTAATTTTGATCAAAATTACTGTAAAAACAGTGAAATATTATTATTATTACAATTTAAAAGATGTGTTTTCTATTTTGATTATATTGTAAAACATAATTTATTCCTGTGATGGCACAGTTGAATTTTCAGAATCATTACAGTTTAGTGATTTGGTGCTCAAAAAAACGTGCTGCTAAATGTTTTTGTGGAAACTGTTGTGCATTTTATTTTCCGTATAGTTTGATTAATAGAAAGAACAGCATTTATTTGAAATAGAAATCTTTTGTAAAATTGCTAATGTCTTTTCTGTTCATTTTAATCCATTTACGTAAGTATTAATTTCTATTCTTTTTTAAAAAAATCATAAGTGACAACTTTTTACTCTAGTGTAAATATTTATAGGACATACTGTATACATTTTTCTAGTTTCTGCAATATATTTCATCATCAACATATAATGCTCTGTGAGCGATTTATGTACAGAAAAAATGCCCATGTATTGATCGTGTAAAGAATGTGTATTTGTGGTTAAAAATGCGGGTCACTCAAGCAAGAGACAAATTTCTTTTAGTTTTCAGAATCCCACGTCATGAAAGCAATCTGCACGTTATCAAATGATTTTTAAATCATTCCAGAATGACTGGAAAGGTCATGGAAAAGTCTTTTAATTTCATGAGTCAAACTTGTGGGATCCATGACAGAAAGACAATAAAAAGGATTGTGAAAACTGAAAGAAGTGCACGGGTTGAGAATACTTGTATTGTCCACATTGAGTCATGCTGCAGTGTTGTGCTGTCCTGGCAGGTGGCAGCACTGTGCAGTGCTGGAGGGGAACAAAACCTAATCATGCTGGACCGCAACATTCACAGGCCCATCGTCACTGGCACTGTGGGTTGGGCTGGATCCACTTTCGGCCCCATGCACAAGAGCAGGCTGGGAGAACATGAGTTTGAAGCATTGATGAGGACGCTGGACAATCTGGTTAGTTGATTCCAATTTATAGTGCTATTATGTTATTTTAAAGGTTGCTAATTCTCACTAAACCCCTCCTTTCCGAGAGCCTACTCTGCTCTGATTGGTCAGATGGCCCACAATGGTGTCAGAAACCAAACGCATGTTACCATACCTGAATTCGCTGCGCAGAAAACAGTGTCTTCTCGATATGTCGCCAACACAAACCAAACTCTCAGCTACAACTAGAGTGTTTGTGGGCGGGGCAATTTAGAAGTTGTTTACAGGCAGCCAATGAAGACCCTTGATGGGCATTATGTTAATTTGTTTCAAATCTAGCATCGTTTCATGTAGTTCAGAGTCGGTTCTTTTATGGGGGATATAATTCACTTTATCATGCACTTTGATCTTAAAACTTTGTAGACCTTTTATACTCACAAACAACTATATTACACTCTTCATGAAAGATAATGTCTGAAGAAGCATATTAGGGCACTTTATTTGCATGATTGTGTTTAAATACAATATTGCCGAAGCATTAACAAACAGATAAAATGCCAATAGCAAAAAAACAATAAAAAAGTATTCAAAAAGGTGCTAAGATATTAATAAAACTAAGATAAAGAAATATATATAATATAACTTACACATTTATCGAGGCATTCTGAAGAAAAAAAATACTGTGATTGCATGTATGTGGATGGACAGTCCAGAGAAATTTACCTAATTGTAATTTTATTGCTATTAGACGTGACTTTAGAACATTTGATTGTCATTTTATAGGGTTACCGTACAGGATACGCCTACCGTTTCCCAGTGCTGTTGGAGCGCACCAGAACCAGGAGAGAGGTGGAAGTACCTGCTACCGTCACGTCATTTTCTTTCCATGACGATGGGGTTCAACCCCACCCCCGTCTCAATCCACACACCCAGAGACAACAGCAGAAGACTAGATGGCTGAACACACCAAATGTCTATCAGAAAGTCAACCAGGACCAGGCCAGCCCGCGACATCGGACCACGGTGAGAGAGATCTCATATAGCTTGTGTAAATTTTTTTTAACTTGAGTATCCAAAATGTCTATTCTAATAATGTGATCTGGCACTGACCACCAAGTTGTGACTAATAATCCTAATAACTAGCTTAAATTCTGGCATGCAACTCATGCAACATATCTCAATTTGTGTGACCTAAGGTGACCAGATTTCTAATATTGAAACCGTGGACATTTCCTAGTATGGTCAAAATATAATTGAAATCTAACTTATCTATCTATGAATTTAAAAAATAGGGACAATACATTTTTTTTCTATTTTTACTAATACAATATTTTGTTTTTTAATTGTTGTCGGTTCCAGATACTATTATTAGATAATAATTATTTGTAGGTTAGCAGGTCAAACAAAACATTACTGGTTTTAATACAATTAATCAAAATCACACTATGTAAAGCAAAATGGTAACCATTGCAAATGTAGAAAATCAGTATTATATATATATATATATATTATATATAAATTTAATATGACTTTCCAAAAAGACATACTATGTTCATACAATTTTTCCTTTTGTAATTATAGTATATGCAAATAAAACTGTATTTATTGTATGGATTTTCTAAATGTATTAATATACTAATAATAATTGTTCATAATACAAATTTTCACAAGCTGAATATATTGAAAACACAACTTTTTAAACATTTCAAATATTCTTTGGTAACACTTTAGTTTATAGTATATATTATCAATAATTGCTTACCAGCATGCATATTATAGGATATTGGCTGTTTATTAGTACTTAGAAAGCACTTAATATACTATCAGAAATGCTTTCAGAAAATACTATACTTTCAGAAATGTTTAAAATGATGTTTAAAATAATCCTGCACCCTGCTCAGGCCCTGTTATATAGTACATACTAACAATTTGTGTTGAATTAAAGTAATTCTGTTTGTATGTGACTACCTTGAAACAGATAATGGTGTCTCTTTTGATAACTGATGATCATAGTGATCTGCTCTCGTCCATGTTAAGTCCTTCATTGATAAAATATGAGTGTGTGAATCAGTAATCAGTGTAGCTTGCAGTGTATTGTAGAAACCAGAGTAGCTTTTCTTCTGAAAATGAATTTGAATGACTAAGCCAGAGACTGTGCTGCAGTTCAGAAAATAGTCCCGAGTGTGAGTCACAGAATATTATTGGTAGAATAATGGCGTATCCGTTACATCACTGTGATAGGACTACAGTTTGGCTGTCTCTTCCACCATGTTCCACCCACCTCCCTTTCTGCTTCTCTGCAATGCAGGGGAATTATTGTATTGTCATAAATCTCACTGCAGTTCTTGCACTGCCCTCTGCTGGGTCCTTTTAGACCTGCTACAGATTTCCCTTGCATCGTTGTCTGCCTCAGTTAGCTTTTTAACATAGGCTGGATGTCTCAGGAATGATTAACATACTTTGGTTCAAGCAGCTGAATTTCTACTGTTTTGATTTCTTTTCTTTTAGTGGCAGAAGACAGAGGAAATCGCACAGGCCAGTGGACAGGCCATTAAAATCGAGAACCCAAACCAGTTTGTCCCTCTTTTCACCAACCCAAAGGAGGTGCTTGAGACTAGAAATAAGGTACAACGAGCTTTTTTTGTCACTGGGTTTAAAAAAAGGATTTGGGCCTTAAATTAAAACTGCGGCTTTTATTGATTTGATGTCAAACCTGAAAAATCAGGACAAATTGTGCATATTTTCTAAGATCTTGTTCTCTATACTTACCAAGGCTGCATTTATTTGCTTTAAAACAGTGAAAACAGTCAGTTTAAAATATATATTTTCTATTTTAATAGCATACATGTTTAAGTGTAATTCATATGGTGATAGCTGAATTTTTAGCATCATTATTCCAGTCACGTGATCCTTCAGAAATCATTCTAATATGATTTGATGCTCAAGAAACATTTCTTACTATTTTCAGTGTTGAAAGCAGTTGTGCTGCTTAAATATTTTGCAGAAACTGTGATGCATTTTTCTGGATTCTTTGGTGAATAGAAGGCAACAGCATTTGTTTGAAATATTTTTTTTGTAGCAATGTAACCGTCCAAACTTTTCATATTTATTCATATTTAGCTGTAAGCTGCAATATTCAAGAAAAAATACATATTTTATCATAATCAGTTACTATCATTAGATGTTCTGCATGACTGTCAACTGAGAGCGTATCTCAATGGCAGAGAATTACAGTCTCACCAAAAGTGCGAGACTGAGTGTTTGTAGTGGCAGAAGTTTTGCAACATGTAGTTTCAGTTTTTTACCATCGGCTGTGAATGGAGGAGGGAATAGTCACAGGGAGAGGAGAATAGTCGGCAAAGTTGATTGGTCGAATATTCGACCAATCAACTGATTGGTCAGACACTGATTAGTCAGGCAGAGGCAAAATGTAATTAAAGTTCACTTTTAAAAAAAACTTTTGCTGATAATTTACTCACCCCATGTCATCCAAGGTGTCCATGTCTTTCTTTCTTCAGTCGAAAAGAAATTAAGGTTTTTGATGAAAACATTCCATTTTTCTCCATATAATGGACTTCAATGGGAACCAAATGGTTCTAGGTCTAAATGAGTTTCAGTGCAGCTTCAAAGGGCTTTAAATGACACCAGACGACGAATAAGGGTCTTATCCTGCGAAACGATCGGCCATTTCAAAAATAAATAAAAATTTAAGTTTAAGTTTTTAAATTTTATAAGCTTAAATGTGATGCGCTTTCGTGACTCTCCTGTTCAAACTAGTTCATCAAAATGAACGAATCTAAAAGATTTGTTCATTTTGGAATGGAACCGTCCAAACTTTTGAACAGTTGCGTGATTCAATTTTAGCTATTGTAGTACATTTCCATAAATAATATTAAAATTAATAGAAAGATGCTGTAGCCTGAAATCATTGCATTCGTTAAATGATTAAAAGAAAGCCAAGTAGAATCATTGAAGATTATAACTGGATTTATGCATAGAAAGAGCAGCAAATACTTTATTAGATGATAAATAACTTTTAATATTATGCTAACTTATAATATACTTATAACTTCAACCATAAACCATAATATTATTAAGAAAGTTTATGATAAAATAATAGTTGTAGGTAGTTGTTTAGTTTAGGTGACATTTATTGTAGTCTTGCTTCTGCATCATTTTTTTAATTTTGCCCCCAGAATGAATATGTATTGATGGTGGTGGATTTCCTTTTATTATTTGTGTTTCAGATCAGGGAGCAGAATCGTCAGGACATGAAAACAGCTGGACCTCGGTCTCAAGTGTTAGCCAGCGTGATCACAGACAACAGTCCACCGGTAAGATCACAGTGTAATAAGATCATAACACTCATACACATCACACAATTAAAACATGTAGCCAGACCACACATTTTAAGTATATGATTTACTTAGAAATGTTTAAGTAATCAATATTTGAGGTATGTTTCATCACGTCTTCACTCTTGATACAGAGCGTGTGAACACAGATCTCAATACTAGACAATACACAATGACGGTAACATTTGATAGATTGTTTTTGTGTTTGAATGTGTCATTTTAAGAAGAGAATGAACTCCAAATGTCACAAAATGGCAAATTACTAATCCTAACAACAAAAGTAATGATAAAACAGTGAAAAATCAACCTCATTAATTATTCATGGCCCAGTGCATCATGGGAACACCAGTACCAGAAAAGTTGAGTAATTTTACTTAATTTTATAATGTTGATATTTACGCTTTCATTTCTACACGATTGAATTGAGTTCTACTATAGAATTTACTTATTTTTTCAAATTCTTGCCTGAACTAACTTTTTTCATGTAAATTACATTGTTTTTTTCTGTAGTATTTACTTCACCACAAAATCATTTTTATCAGTGTACTTTATATTCTTTCTCTTGAAAATGTGAGCATTCTTAAAGTGCCTCTATTATGTTATTTTAAATACTTCCTAATTAGAGCTCTCCTACGGTTGGTTTACATGAATCCACAGTCAATAAACTATTACATTTTTGTATAATTTTTATTGGTAATTGGCAATTACAGCATCAGTTCAATAAAGGATTCATTCTCTTTAAACCCCTCCTTTCCGCAAGCTTCCTTTGCTCTGATTGGTCAGATGGCCCAATCTGTTATGATTGCTCTACCACTCAGAAATGAGACTCCCATTAAAGGGTTAGTTCACCCAAAAATAAAAATGTGTCTTTAATGACTCACCCTCATGTTGTTCCAAGCCCGTTAGACCTTTGTTCATCTTCAGAACACAGACAAAACCGGAAGAGAATACAATGTTGTGTGTTTGTGTTCATGATGTGAGCATGATTGTTCTGCTTCCAGTCTCCAGAGACCGTTGAGCCCCCAGCCTTACCTGAACCCGAGACTCCGAATCCCTTCAATGAGCTGACGGACCAGGAGCTGGAGGAATACCGCAAGGAGGTGCAGCGCAAACAACACGGCCAGCAGGACGGTACGAGCTGACACTGTCTTAACTAGACTTAGACTGTGTAGTTTTGTAACCCACTGATTTCTGACCCAAGTATTGATGTTTTATTGATTTTCTCACTGGATTAAAGAAGAGAATTCAATAAACACCCTCTGTCTTATACAGTACACATCCTTAGACAAATATTGACTTGATGTCACCGCTACTGATTACCAAAGATTTGCTTTTTTTAGTTTATTATCCACTTTTAAGAATGAACGTTTGGAGCAATATATATTTTAATTCAGGAAATACACAATGCATGTATTTAATACTTTGACGTGTGCCTTGAAAATAAATGAATTAAAGTTGTTGAATTTCAGTATCTTTCCAGAAACTGCTAACTTGAGGTTTTGTGTCCCGACATCATTTCTTCATGTACCTGTCCTGAGCACTGATCTTTTTGCACTGTGTCCTGTCTGACAAACACACACACACTAAAATCCAAGAATGCCTTTACAGTAAATACCATTGTTGGGGACGTTACTTGCCCAGCTACAAACTACCCATGACTTAAAGTTGTTAAACTGTTGTTTAGATGGCTAAGCAGATTACATACTGTTCAAAAGTTTGGGGTCAGTAAACTTGTTTTGGTTTGTTTGTTTTTGAAAGAATCCCCACCAAAGCTGAACCTATTTGATCAAAAAACAGTAGAAACTGTAATATAATATAAATCTATCTATCTATCTATCTATCTATCTATCTATCTATCTATCTATCTATCTATCTATCTATTATCTATCTATCTATCTATCTATCTATCTATCTATCTATCTATCTATCTATCTATCTTTATCTGTCTATCTATCTATCTATCTATCTATTGTTTTATCTATCGTTCTATCCATCTATCTATCGTTCTATCATTCTATATGAAGAGTTCAGATGCAAAAGCCTCTAAGTGCCATTTGAAGTTTTCTTCTAGAATGATCATTTTATCAAGTTTGTATATTTAAGTTCAGTGATTTCACTTAAATGGCAATGATAATTACCTATTAATTGTTATTTAAGTGAAATTACTGAACTTAAATATACAAGTTTGACCAAAATCATCATTAAAGAAGAAAATTTCAAATGACATTTAGAGAGTTTTGCATCTGAACTCTTCATTTATCGTTCTATCTACAAGTATCTATCCTAGGTACATTGATAAAAAGAAAAGCGTTTACTTGAAATATAAATCTTGTATAACATTATAAATATATTTAATTTTACTTTTCAATTTCATGCATCCTTGCTGAATACAAATATTTATTTACTGTATCCCCAAACATCTGAAGCATACTGCATATACAGTATATATTATTTTTTTGAATTAATATCGAATTGAAAATGATATGCTAGGACCAAGTGAACTTGTTACCAGAAAAGCTACATTATTTTGAAATCAGCTGAGCTATTGTCACACTGCTAAAAAAAAAAATATTAATTTAGCTACAACGCTATTTTTTAACAAATGACTCCTCAACACTGGTTATTACTCACTGTTCACCTCCTCCTTATCTCCCTCTATTTCTGTTTCCTCTCCTCTTCTTCCCTCTACCCTGATGTTGTGTAAAAGGTGTGGAGGAGGTGGTGAATGACACGGGGACTTCCCCGACTACCTCCCCCAAAAAGAGCCCAGTGTCAGGTGAGACCCGGTGGTGCTTCCCCTCACACCTGTGCATGTCAACATCCTGCTATGGCCACACATGCTGACCTGTGTGTAGCATCATCACAACCCCTGTTACTAAAAGCAAAATAAAAAGTAGGGCTTTTTAAGTAACACTTTACAATAAAGTATCAGTTAATGTTATTTAATGCATTAACTAGCATTAATGAGCAATGCATTTTTTTACCGTATTTAATCATCTTTAGTTCATGTAAGCTGAGGTCCATTAAATAATGTTAACAGAGACTATGCATTTATTTTTTAATAATGTATTAGTAAATATTTAAATTAGTACATCTAAGTTAATTTAGTTAATGTAACAAATGGAACCTTAATGTAAAGTGTTTGTTTTTCTCCATATGCACTCAAGTAGATTAATGCAGATTTATTTTATAATCTGTATCAATACCTTAAAGGAATAGTTTACCCAAAAAATACTATTGTTTGATTTGTTAACATTACTTTACTACATTAATCAACATAAACAATACTAGTTATATTAATCTTAGCATTTGCTAATTTTTTAATATCAAATGTTGTATCTGTTCAAATTAGCTAATGCAATGGACATTTTTATTAACTAACATTAACAAAAGTTTATAAAAGCTGTGAATTGTCCATTAATATTACAGTTGGCATGAAATGGAAGTTGCGATAGTCTTATCGTGGCGTATATTTGAGTGAAAATGCCCTTATTTTGTCCATTGGGTATTGATTGGATGATTGTGGTTTGTTATTGGTCGACGTCAATATCGCCCTCGCACCAGTAAACTCGTCATCAGAGAAGAGTTTTGCAAGAGGGAGGGGAAGTTATTTTGATTAAAGATTATCACATGATTTTTTTTTTCAAATAATGTCCACAGATAAGTAATAATAAATTCAGCAATAATCCAGAAATAAAATAAGAATGGTTGATTTTGATTTCGTTGTTTCTTACAATTTACCTTACTGTAAAGTGTTACCCATACTGTTAATTTTCCATTAATATTTTTTGAAGAGTCTTAAAGTGATTTTTAAAGTTTCCTTTGATGCCTTTAGCCGTTAGTGTAATGTACAGTAACATGGGATGTCTGTATTCAAGTCTGTGTCAGTGTTTTCATTTCAATTGCCATCATTTTTTATTTTTATGTGTGACATTTTCAGCTCTGAGTCTGTACTGTAGCCTCCATCTGTCTTCACACCTTGTCTGTCTGTCTCTGTCCCTCTATTATAATTTGTAGGACAATCGTTTGGTACTGAGATCTTGTCTCACTAGTGAGTATATAGAAAGACATTGCACACAACTTGAACGAGCATGTTGGGCAAAAACTGTAGCTGCTTCTGTGCCACGGGTTAACCCCTGAACAACTGCTTAACTGCTATTATTTTTACTGTGCTATTTCTTTCCCATTTTTATTTCAATTGCATTCACGTGCAGATGGGAAAACCACAGATGGCGTGCAGAACGATAAAGGCGACGAGAAGAAACAGCAGGAGGAGCTAGAAAAACAAATGAAGGCTCTGTCCACCACTGACACTTCTGAAACCACACTCTTGGCCCCGCCCATCGCCCCGCCCAACAAGCCTGCAGGAAACACCCCAGAGGGGTCTCCTTCCAAATCTCCTTCAAAGAAAAAAAAGAAGTTCAAGGCCCCCTGTTTCCTAAAGAAAAGCAAGAAACAAAAAGAGAAAGCAGAATCTTGAACTCAGACACGCTCTTCTTCACTAATACTTACACGCAAACACATCTTCACTGTGTATCCATTCACTGATCTTTACATGCCATACGAGTTTCTGATTATGGTTTTGTGACTTGAAACATGTTTTCGGTCCACTCTGTCCACGCCGATGCAAATTTCACAATGCTTCACTAATGCACATTGAATATGATCCTCCCCCTTGCTTTAAAATGACTTGCACTTAGTACTTGCGTAGAAAAAAAAGAATGTGGCATTGAGTAAGCATTGATTGTTCATGTCTATCGATTCTGATTGTTGCTCATTATCATGTTTATATAATTACATGTGGCATTACTGTTGACTAAAATCTTTTTTAACCACTATTCTTTCATCCTTCATCTCACTTTGTTATGAATAGCAGGGATAAACTAATTAAAAATGTTTCATTCACTGGAAATCATGATCGCAGTGGCTTGCAAACAATTCATGTCAAAAGGCCAAAATAAGCAAGATAATGAAGAAAATTCAACACTAAATGCACGACTTTATTCCACTTGTTTTTTTAATTGTTATTATTTAGTATCTTTGTATGTATGTGCGCCAGAGACTTCTTTGCAGTTGTAATTATTTTTATGATCAGGCACTGTTATTTAAATGCATTTGTGTGTATATTAGCCAGTTTATAAACTTAATTCCATGTCAATATTAGAATGTAAAATGCTAGGATCGGATGTACCATTCATTAAAGATCACATCCATGTGAAGTTGTAGTCTGTCTTTAAGGTGGATTTCAAAACAATAGCCTAATTGTGACTGAGAAAATCAAAGGTGACATGTCTTTTCTAGTCATGTTAAAGGAATAGTTCACCCCAAGAAATTAATTCTGTCATCATTTACTCACCCATATGTTGTTCCAAACATATGAGTTTCTTTTGTTAAACACAAAAGAATATATTTTGGTAATCAAACAGTTGACGGGCTTCCAAGTTCCATATTATTATTTTTTCCTATGGAAGTCAAGGGCTACCATCCAATGTCTGGTTACCAACATTCTTCAAAATATCTTCATTTTACTTAAACCGAAGAAACTCATACAGTTTTTGAACAACATGGTGGTGAGCAAAGGATGACAGAATTTGAATTTCGGTGAATTAACCCGTTAACTTTAAAGAGGTTACTTTCAAGTACAAATATGTTGCAACCAGTTCATATTTGATGTCAATGTATTTCCGAAGTTTTTAACTGAAAAGCAAATTCTTTTTATTTTTTACTAAGTGGCGTAATGTGAGATAGGAACTATTTTCACAGAACCCTTGAAGGCTTCCGGATTGCTTTTTGTGGCGCACAGTTGATGGCGACCAGCAGACGTTTGAGTCTGGAATTTTCTACAAGTTTGTGAAAGCGCTGTTGGAAAGAAAGCAGTTTGCTTTGTATTAATTCAATAATGGTGAGAAGCAGGAGCCGAACACCACCACCATCATCTCGACGAGGTTTGAATTTAGTTATTCTTGCTTTAAATATATGTATGACGACGTTTGTTAACGTCGCATCTGGCGCACATTCAAAACAAAAACAGATCAAATATTATACTTGTACTCATAATCAAACAAATTATTCTTGCTAATTAAGCTCTTTCTACGAGTTGAAATTGTCTACAGCCCAATGTTATACAGATAACCATTTTGCAAGTGAAAGTATTAACGTTATAGCATTTCATTGCTTAACACTATCTTTTTTAGGTCACGTAGATTTTTCTTTGAACGTTATTTAGTAATATCATGTTATAACTAACTATAAAATATTGATTTTGTTCTTAATTGTTTATTTTATTTAACAAACAATGCAACATTCTCAAAAAATATGATTTTTTTTAAGATGTCGGTGGCATCTAAAATGAAATTGTTCACTGTTAACTTATAGCATTACAATTATTTTTATTATAGAAAAAAAAGAATGTCACTTTTAATTAGTTTAGTGGGATTTTTTTAAATAATTTGGTTGGTTTGGTAATGAAATTATCATATACACATTGAATATTATTTTTATTATTGTAATTATTCATATTTTTAAAATTGGTTGACCTCATCCTAATGCTTATGAATTATAGTTAAATATAGAACCAAACGAAGGGTACAATGGACATATTTTTTAGGCAGCTGGCATATTTAAATATTCAAACATAAAAATTATTTATTTTGTTTCAACCTTTCTTTGGTAACGGCTTTGTGGTTTCTCATTCCAGAGAGACGGCGTTCACGCTCGTCTTCACGAGATCGTGAGAGGAGGCGCAGGGATCGCGAGAGGTCCCGGGACAGAGACAGACGACGGACGCGCTCACGCTCTCCCCAAAGGCGCAGATCCAGGTGAGCTTGTGCCATCAGACACTCGCTGTACACACATTTCATTAGTGAATAACATAACAGGTCTGTGAATCTGGTTAGCTAAAAAGTGGAGCTCTGGGCTCAATGTTTAGTTTTTGATAACCCCTCCTCCAGCTGTGTGCCTGTCTTGATTATGTAGGTCTCCACGGCGACACCGCTCCTCCTCTCTGTCCCCAGTGCGGCAGAAGGACAGACGGGACGATGACAGGAAGGAAGTTAAAGACAAGCCAGCAAAGGTCCATCAGATATCAGGTGGAGCACTTTATTTAATCCTACAATAAAGTTTCTGCAGTGAAGTTAGCATCACCCTGATTCCCTTGACTAAAAAACAGTAGGATTTTTCCATTGACTTTTGGAAAACAAGTTCTGTAACCAACAAATGTTTTTTCTTGCACGTTTAGCCACTCGTTAGCAACCGCCTTTTTCAAGGTGTAAAGAGTTAGTTCACCCAAACATTTCTTTCGTTCATCTTTGGAACACAAATGAAGATCTTTTTGATGAAATCTGAGAGCTTTCTATCTCTTCATTGTCAGCTGCGCAATGAAGATTACGTAAAACTAATCCATATATTTGAGTGGTTTACTCCAAATTTTCTTAAGAGACTCAACCACTTTCTATGATGAACATATTGATTTAATTTAGTCTTTTATTCACTTAAACGTTCATCAACTCAACACATCATGTTTAGCTTCCGTTTATGTTTGCTGATCAATGTTTAAATGAGAATAAAATCTTAAATTAAATTTTATGTAGTAAAATAAAATTAGAATATCTTAAGCTTCTTCACCACAGACTTTTTTTCTGGTATTTAACCAAAAACCTATTGACTTCACAATGATGGAACAAAACTAGTGCTAAAATGTGAACTCGTGTCTGGGTTTTAGCCTTCAAAAATACTGTCTATTATGACAGTCACTGTGTCAGATAAAGAATTCTTGTATTCCGTGATGTCAATGTCATCGAGAAGGCGGCACTAGGGACTAGAAATGAGTTTAAACAAACAATGGCTGCGGAATTGCCGTGTTGTCATTAGAAAGACAAAAAAAAGAAAGAAAATTGCATTATTCCACCTAGCAGCACCAATACCATCATCTCTCTCTCTCTCTCTCTCTCTCTCTCTCTCTCGTTTCGTCCATGTTTGAAAGCTGTGTACGGAAGAGCTTCTCTGCTCCTATTGGTCAATGTCACAGATGTGACAGAACTCGTCATGAAACATGCTTATCATTTTTGTCCACTATGAGACACTATACGAGAAAATAACAGTCAATTCTTGTGTCCTCTGCACCCATTGTAGTTTACAAATCACCATATCACTATATCAAATAAACTGTGCCAATCTGGCTGGTATCATGTAGTGTGAACCCACCATTGTCTGCATCTTTGTATTTTCCCAGTTAGAATTGTTAAAACAGTCAACGCAAAGTGATATACATAAACTTTTTTCAGGAAGGTGAGAAATTTTTTTTTAAAGTCAATGACCCATCAATATTCACTGTTTACTTTATTAAAAAAGTTAAAATGGAAAATTAGTCGCATACACATTTTGCATAAGCAGTGAAATGTATTTTCCCCCTCAGGTCAGCTACACATTCCCGCTATTGTGCTTGATTCATCAGTTCACGTTATTCCAAAGAAAAAGTAGTCTTTCATAATCATACATCACATGTAATAACTTGCTTTGCCTCAGAAATAACTGCACCACCTAAACCATGCGAAAAAATGTGAATCATGTTAATCAACAAATCTGTCCAATAGTTCAAACAAAAGTAATTTAGTTCCCAATAATTTAATAAATTATGGCAGTAACAGTGTATAACCAAGGCTGTAAAAAAACACTGTAAAAATAGTAATATTGTAAAATAATATTACAATTTAAAATAGCCATTTTCTATTTGAATATATTTTCAAATGTAATTTATTCCTGTGATGCAAAGCTGAATTTTCAGCATCATTACTCTAGTCTTCAGTGTCGCATGATCCTTCAGAAATTATTCTAAAATGCAGATTGTCTGCTTAAGAAACATTTTTTCTCAACAATATTGAAGCCAGTTGTGCTGCTTAATATTTTTTTGTGGAAACTGTGCTGCATTATTCTTCAGTGAATTGAAAGTTCAAAAGAACAGCATTTATTTATAATACATAAATCCCTATTCTTGCTGAATAAAAGTATAATGCATCTGAATCCACCAGTTTCAGAACCCCAGTGCCAGAACTAGAAGTAATGGTCAAAGCTTACATTATAACACCAGTGACCGGAATTGAGGGGCGGAGCTTAGGTTCTAAACCGAATAACGCACCTAACGTTATGGAGCGTAATTTGCTTAGACACGAAACAGCTTTTATTAAACCCGAAATGTCCTACTTTATACGCATTTTATAATGATACATTAAGGTACAGTACAATAAGCATTTTAAAACATTGATTTTGTGTAATATAGTTTTATATAGTTATACGTTTCATTGTATTATGAGTTACCTCCTGATCATCATGGTGAAAAATAATACATGAAACTTAAGGGCATTTTAATGTACAACAGTTTCATTATTTTAGCTTTATACACAATTTTACACAATTTTATACACAATTATACACAATTTGATAACTGATTAGAACTCAGTGATTTGTTCTAATTTATTTAATGTTTACATAAATCTTAAGTTGTTTTGATATTAAAAATACATATCTTCAATATGATTTTGATTGTTTAATTAAAAAAATTAATAGTAAAAAAGAAATGCATGGGCATTTTTTACTTTATTTCACAAGAACATGTGCAGTATGCATTATTCTTTGTGTAAAATAATAATGTCAATCTAAAAGGGAGAGAAAATTCGGCATTAAAAGAAACAATTAAAATGTATACAACAAATGACCTAGGCCCATTTTATCACAACAATCCTGTTTAAATTTAACTTGCAATGTATCAAATGAGGAACTCGCTCTCAGGCCCATTTTGTCCTTACATTCTTGCAAAATTAACTATGATGCAATAATAATAATTCCCCTCCCTCACTTCTGTTTCTGGCGCTGGGGGTTCTGAAACTGGTGGTGCTGTGAGTCTGGATATATCTCGACTGAATGATAGTGTTCATTCTTTAAGATGCCCTTATGCTTGAAAACGACCTTCAGCCTACACTTCAGTCAAAAGCCCTCCTCAAAAGGGTCAATATACTGAAGTAAAATGTGTTGTGATCTTGAATATCTTTTCATTCTGAAATCATGATGCTGAGAACAGACTCTGACTGTACCACATTTAAGCTGATGTCTTTTCTCATCTGATTGCTCGTGCAGCTGAGGACATGCAGGGAAAGACTGAAGAGGAAATTGAGATGATGAAACTGATGGGCTTTGGATCCTTTGACAGCACAAAGGTGAGGTCACTTTCTTTACAGCTAAATCATGTTACAATCCATCCTACAAGAAAGACCAAATGAGATGTGATAATATGTCAAGTATTTTGTATTGTTGTCAATCGCATAGAGTTTAGTATGTATGGCCACTGTCTTGGCCTTTGGTCATCATGGGTAAAAGTACACACTGTTCCACAAAGCTGCTTGCAGTTTTTTTTTTTTTTTTTTTTTAAATGGCGAAGCTGATCATCCAAATAACCACAAGATGGCACAGCTAGACAGAGTGCATGCTAGAAATATTCCTGATGAAAACCAAATTAACTTGAAGATAAAATCTTAAATATTCTGTGCTGTAATATGCTCCCCTTTTTTTTATTAATGCACAGTTGTTTTTATGTCATTTAAAAATATTGTATGGTGTATGATTGTCATTTTTAATCAACAGGGCAAAAAGAAGGAAGGAAATGTTGCTTCATTTGCAATTAATGTGTCACAGAAGAGAAAATACAGGTATTTGTATTTACAGTTTTTGTTTGCAGAGATTAAATAGTTCGTCTGCCCGAACCCCAGATCCCCCACTTGATGATTTGAGTTCTGCGATTTGTAATTCCTGGCTTTATTTTGTATTTTTTTATATTTATGTATAAACGGCATTTGTGTTAAGAAAAATAACTTAAGTCAATATCCCAGCAACACCACTGTATTTGGCCAATCACCTCTGCAGGTACTGCACAACTAAATGACAAACGTTCTCATTGGTGGGCAGTGATGTAATGTTTTGGTGCAGGAAGGCGATCAATGATGTAATCATATTTCTCTTGCAGGCAATACATGAACAGGAAAGGTGGTTTCAACAGACCCTTGGATTTCATTGCTTGATGGAGTCGTTAGGAACTATGTTTTAATGATTGTGGCTTTCTTTTTCTTCCTGAGTTTATGTAAATATGTGCTCCAGCGGTTTTTCCATATGTTTTGTTTTTCAGTCAATAGCTGTGATTTAAGTGTAGTTTAGTTTGTAGTAGCTTATTTTAATTTTGATGTTATGGGTGCATTTTCTTGAATATCATATTTAGCAAAAACATTGTAGTACTAAATAAATGGGAACTCTTGATGAATGTTTTTGTCCATTGTTTTGTTATTGTGCAATTTTAGCATAATTGAATTTCACATATATGACAATCAAATTAGCTATCACATAATTTAATTGTTTTTAAATGGTCTAAAAACAACCGAAGAAATAAACAAATATTTCCATTGCTATATGTTTAAAACGTAAAAATCATGTGAAGTCATTTTTATCTATCAGCATGTTCAAGGGAGGTGTGTCTGTTAGGAGTTCCGGAACATTTTAAAGCCGTCCAATCACATGCGACAGTGCTGTGTCTGTCCAGCCAATCAAAGCATAACAACAAAACATGATTTGCATAATATTCCATTTTGGCTCAGGAGCAAATGCCAGAATCCAACGGCACAGGTTGTACCTTTGCTCCAAAATGGCGCTACAGTGATGCTAGTTGCACCATTATCTTGCGGAATCGCATTACAGCAGTCATATTCACGCTTTATAATGCACCTCAGCCATTGGTCCTTTCTAGACACGAGCAATTAGATTGACAGTAAACACAACCGATGAGATGGTCGCTTCCTGTATCGTTCATCCAATAGTATCGCGTGTTCTCCAGAGCTCCTGACAGCATACAGAGTAACATGACAGCAGCTAGCAAACATCTCATCTGCCTGGCTCAACGACGTTATGGTTTCGCTAGCTGTGTGTTTTTGTCCTATTTTTGATTAATTTTCCTCAGTTGCACACAGCCACAACTTAGCATGTGCATCTAGAGCTTTTTAATAAGTAGCCAGATCGTCTGTCACGCTTGATATATCGATACCAGCGATTGTTTGGACTTTCCGAGGCCGTGTACTTTTTATTTTAAAGCCTATTTTCAACACATTTCTTTTTTTCAACGATCAATTAAGATTTTTTTTTTATTAAACAACGTAATTTTGCTTATTGACGACTACTTTTTTACAACAACAACAAGGAATTGCGGTTGAACGCTGTTTGTTTTCCAACCAGCACCAAAGCTCAAAGATTATTAACAATAATATCACCAGCTGCGCAAATACACTTTTGTTTTTGACAATTTATACAATCTGGCAACCAGTACCCTCATCAGATCGATCTGACCGAGCTGTCAATCCAGTATTTTTTTTCCAGACTCAACGATGGTCTCTTGTTAGCAGCGTTTGCTGTCAATATCAGAGCCTAAAAATTGACCAAGTGTAGAACTAAAGATCTTATCTTTGTGACAGCTCATTTATAAAAGTCTTTAGACCTTCCTGAGTGTCACCACGTACATGCTTTCAGGAAGAGTTGCCAGATTTTGCAAACCTGGAAGGTTTTTTGTTGTTGTTGTTCGTGTCGTGTTCTCACAATTTTAACATTTAATGTCCAATGTCTCGTTTATTATGAACAGGACTAGTTAATTTAGTTCTTTTTTGGCAGCTGAGGGACATTTTTATTCGGTTTTATCATCCAGCTATTTGCAAACCAGCGTGTTTATTTGTTAGATTTTTTTTCTCCTCATTTTCATTTTTCGCACATTTTATCAACAAGCCCCATATCTAAACATTTCCCTCGCTGCCTTGTACAAAATATTTTGTAAATTCGTCGGACTTGATTTTATTTTTTACTCTATTCGTTGGAGGAAGAAGAACCGTGAAGGAACGAAAGGCTGCTGCTTGTTTTTTCCCCCTCATTTATTTCTGACCCGGATTGTCGTTTTTATCGTTGCTTTCTGCTTAAAATGACGGCTATTGAGAAACTGCAGATGTTGATCGAAGCAGCTGAATATCTTGATCGAAGAGAAAGAGGTAAAGTGACGTATATAATACTAAATATACACGCACGCATAATGATATTTTGGCATGCAAATTAATCCTGACACTGTTGCTAAGGTGCTTGTTTGCTAAATAGAGAGAAAAAAAATGGTGATTCGACCTATTTATTATAATTGAATGCATAAAATGCAGACGGGGTTTTTCCGTTGTTATGATATTCGGGGAATATTTAGACATCGAGAAGTGTCCACTTCAGCTGTCTGAGTCTGTGCTGGTCAGTCACCATACACTTGTATTTTACAGGGGACACCAACACTCTCTAGGGATAAAACCCAAGCACATATGGCATATTTATATATTTTTAATGATGCTTGATGACATATTTGTGTGCATATGTGGAAGTGAAATGTATTTTTCAAGCACTGCTGTTGGTTTACAGTGGAGGGTTTCCTGTGCATCCCCCTTCCCCCCTATCTGTTGTGGTTCGGCTGGCTATTGGGTTTACTCCAGTTCAGATGACATCATTGACCCAAAAGCAAGACATTTGTCTAGAAATGGCCCCATTGTGTTTTATATAATAACCGATTTCCTCCCAAGAACAAAAAAAAAAAAAAAAATGTTCAAGATTTGTAATCAATCGCTTTGATTTTCAGGTAGTCAATGTGCTTTGTGGTCTAATGAGCTTCTAAATGTCTCTGTTTGAATTTGCAGAAGCGGAGCACGGCTATGCCTCCATGTTACCCTTCACCAGCAACAAAGAGAGGGATGGCTTGAAACGAAAAATCAAAAGCAAGAAAAATTGCAGCAGCAGGTACTTCCACCTAATTTCTGCGAAAACAAAGATGATTTCATTAGCATCATGACGGATCTATTTGTGTGCACTGTATGTACAGTGTGATTGGTCCCAACATGAACATGATTCACACACACATCACTCTTGAGTGATTTCTAAATTAGACTACATATCTGCACCGTGTGTGTGTGACACAAACACACCCACTGATTCATCTCCGTTCAGATGCAGTCAGAACACGCTGTCCCACGTTCAACATGGAGAGAGACGTACACTCACATGCTGCTCGATTCTCTTCTCGTGTGACTCTCACCACCCACATCCCACAGTCACAATTTACTCACTCACTACTCAACACCTCAGATTTCATCAGCATCATCCGATTAGTGGGCCTGGAACTGTCCGTCGCCTGTCATTGGGTGAAATCAGTGGCCTTAAATTGTTTTCAAAGTAGCCCTGATTACTATTTTGTTTCATGTAAATGACTTGTTTACCACCTATTCTTCTTAGGCAATGCTGTTTTTATGTTTACATCGTTAGTAAATAAGGGTGTGTCGATTTTAATTCACAATCTTGAAAATCGAAACAAAAAATGGAATCGTCGATGCTTTCGAGCGTAAAAAACACGCGTGTTGAAGTGCTGCGAGTCTATGATCAACCTCCTCTAGCTTATCTACAGCCATTCAAAAGATAGCATGGCATGACCCATCGACAGAACTTGAACCCCCTCCTCTTTCATTTAAGTCACAGGAGTGGAAGTTTTTTGGATTTCCAGTGAGTAATTTTGACAACGTTTGCTTGTCGAGACAGAAAAAACTGCTGCAAACCGTATTGCGCGGATGGCAGAGAGGGAGAGATCGAGAGACCTTGCGTGTGTGCCTCATGAAGCGCATGTAAGACGGAGAGCATCCTGATTGGCCGATTGATTCAAAAATCGAGAGTTGAATCAAAAATGTCATCGAATCGATGATTTGGAGAATCGCGACACCCCTAGTAGTGAACCATTCTCATGAACCAACTCATGATTGTTAGTTTTGTTATGTTTGTTAACAAACAGTAGTATTGAATTTGGCAGTAATTTCTCATATCAGCACGAGGTTAAACTAAAATTACTAGCAGACATCACATGGTCACAATGAATGCTTTAAAGTCAGCATGAGTCTAATCAGAACTGTTTATGACAGAACCTGATCACGTTTAATCAAAATGTCCTAACTGGAGCTTCTCTTTGGTGACTCTCTTACTGGTAGTCCACTTAAACCTTGCCTTCATCGTCCTCTGCATTTAAGTGCAACGCCCACATCTCAAAGTCCAATCAACAGATAATCTGAAGGAAAAAGACCTTCCATTTCATTATCATCAATATTTCAGCTTTATGCCTACAGGTACTTTAACTCTATTCTCATTATGACGTGAGCCGTGTATCTTTAAACTCCACGTTCTAGAACATGTTCCGTTACACTATGTTCTAAACTGGTGCAACTTGATAAGTTGACAAGTGATAAATCTTTCATATCTATGAAGGTTTTTGTTCTAAGCAGCTGCAATCATGACAGGAGTTTCTGTTTGGTTTTGTTTTTGGTGGCCTTGTTTCTGGTAGCATTTCTCCCATAGGAATTTTGAAAAAAAGTTTTTGTTATAAGCCATTAACCAAGCCGAACAACTACAAGCTGAATTACATCATTGCAAAGTTTGAACTTGAAGCAAAAAATGTATCTGAAAATCAGACAAAAATTAAAAGACTGTTCTTTAATGAGTGAAAGAACTACAATCCCATGAAGCATTGCAAATGAAATTATAAAATTAAAAAAAAAACAATGGCAAAATGTAAATTTATTGATTTAAAGAAGTTGAAAATTTAAATAATATATAAAAACAATGTATTTTTTATTGCAAAATAATATTAATATTTATGATATAAATCGATACTGTATAAAGCACACATATTGCTAAATGTTGAAAACAGTTTAATATGTTTGTGTAAAGAGTGCTAAAAAACAGTATTAATTTGAAATATTTGGATATATAAATGGGCAAATGCTAACATCATGCCCGGCTTTATTTCCATCAAGAGGTGCATACATTTTTGGTCAAGATCTTTATTGACAATGCAAGAGTCGAGCACTCTGTAAAGTCTTCTCTTTAAAGACTTTCAATTGATTTAAGGTCTGGACTCAATTCTTTGACAATCTGAGCCTTATGAATCATTGTTATTGTGGAAAATGGCCATGTTGTGTCTTCCTACTTGGGGGTTTAATAAGTGAACAGCTACTCACTCCATCAGTTAGGGTTAGAAGAATGGTTTCCAAGCATTTAACATGCCAGAAACATAATAATCACTGCAAGCAGTGTTTATGTATTTACTACGCTAATGTTTTTGGTGTGATTTCACTGATATGTGGAGATTTTCTATGCAGAATCATGGGTAATGTAGTTTTTCACCAGGAATTCTGCTGTTAAACTTTAAAAAGAAAGTGCATAATGCAGGCTGATGGCTTTAACAAAAGCACACACCAAGCTTGCTGCTTACAGTAGGTCTATTTTTAAATGTTTATACGTTTTTGTTCAAAATCATTTCCGCTATATGGAAAATGAATGGGATTTTAACTCACAGAACCTCACTGTTTTCTGTGGTGTTCCATTGATTAGCCCTGCCCACTGTGAAATGTTATTGATCCATATACACAACTGTATATTAAACATCAAATGTGTTCTTATTGGCTTGGATGCAGTCTGAATCTGACTGGTCTGATAAATGTTAGCAGGGCTTTAGGGACAGATCAACTTTATTCTAACAGGGGAAATTTTTAACTGTACAGGTAGCTGATTGACAGCACATGTTGCTGTCATACTCTGCATTCTGATTCACAGCCACAAGGTCCCTTTAAAGCAGGTCAGCAGAGGGTCATAAAAGCTGCTGCTTCTGAATCATGGAGATTAACCATTTTTGGTATGTGAGCTTGGATAAAAATCTAGTTATTGTGTGACCCTGCAGAAAACAGTCCCCAACTCTAATCTGTGTCTGGATGTTTATGTGGTTTGTAACTGGATATTAAGGCCTAACAAGGGAAGCACTGGGTTTGTTGCTATTTATACACAGCCTTATGGTGCATACAGAGGAAGTCGTTGTTTAAATGTTGGTTTAGTTTATAAGGAAATCGTAGGAGCTGTCTTTTTAATGTAACAGGTCTCATGATGACATGCTATTGCAGAAAACAAGTGATCACCCAACGTTTGTTGCCATCACCTTATTTTATAAGGGGTCAGAAAACTCTTTTTAAAAAGTTTTTGAAACATTAAATGCTCAATTTGATTAGTAATACAGTAAAATTGTAAGTAAGATATTACAATTTTAAATAACTATTTATTACTGTTTATAACTGATAATTTTATATATTTTTTAAAATATAATTTATTCCTGTGATGTCAAAGCAAGTCTTCAGTGCCATACGATCCTTCAGAAATCACTCTAATATGCTGATTTGGTGCTCAAGACATACATTTATAAATATATTGAAAACAGTTGGTTGCTTAATATTTTTGTGTAAACCATGCAAATATATATATATATAAATTTCAGAATTATTTGGTGAATAGAAAATTAAAAAGAACAGTATTTTGAAATAGAAGTCTTGTTTAACATAAAAGTCTCCACTATAACTTTTGATTAATATAATTAATTTAATGCATCCTTGCTGAATACAATTATTATTTTTTTTCACAAAAAAACAACAACAAATCAATCTGACCACAAACAGTATGTAGAGTCACCATGAAATGAAAATGGACAATTCTTTCTTTTTTGAATGCTGCAGTGTTTATTATAAATGATTCATCGGTGCATATCTTTTTTTTTTATTCACATGGCCTCATAATTTTTAATTAAAAACGATGACCTCTCCTCCAAATAACACCTGTTCTCTTCATGACTCAAATATACGACACAATAGGGAAGAAAAGACGATCTAACTGATCTGACTAATCATACAAAATATGGCCAGTTTTTGTGCCCTGTATTTTGATGTACTCGTCATCATTGCAAGGGATAACAAAAAGGACTATTGCTACCACAACATTTTCTGTTGCTATTAGTATTAAAGCTGTAGTCCTGTTCCACTCTTTGGCACAGCAGTTTAAACAGAATATGGTACCATGATGTGTTTTTTTTCCCATTAACTGCTTTAGACAGGACAATATGTCTTTAATTTCGGGAAAAATTATATGTTATAAATATTTTATTTGCATTTAGCATATGCTATGTATGTTACATTTTTACATTTCTTTTAAAGTGCCAGACTATGCTATATTAAAGGTTCCTAAATTCTGTAACAAAAAACACTTTCATTTTCTCCTAATATAGACTGCACATCACCACATTTTTCAATGATTGTGAAAGAACTCGTCCGAAGTTTCAGTCTCTAAATCCCTCCTTTCTGTTGGCCTACTCTGCTCTGATTGGCCAGATGACCCAGTCTGTTGTGATTGGTCCACCGATTACAGTGTGCATCGGAAACTAAACGCCCATTACCATAACTGAATTTCAGCTCTGGATGCTTCCTCAGTCCTCAGCGATAACACACTGTAAAGACAGTAACAATGACGTTCATTTGACCATATCAATCTGAGCGCGAAGATGATGTAACATTGTAAGAACTAGTCATTCAACCCGAACCTCAATCGCAAGGGCAACTTGAGCAAAACGTTTCCCAGTGAGAAGCTACTCATATTGAGGTACATTATGAGATGTTGCAACTGTAATTCCTCATCATTAGCATTAACTAGAGAATGTCCATCAACAAACCGATCTGTATTTCTAATATATGTTTGGAAAATATTGGTTTTCCAAACAAATCGTGCTCCATCGTTTATCTTTATTCAAACTAGAAATAACGACTGCATTAAAAGACACAGTTTTAGGTAATAGTGGACCACAGCTGCTTAGCAGAAGTATTTCAGTGAATCAGTAATAACTTTTAGCCAGTTAGCCGGAAAATTACACATATTACATATTATAAACA